AATCCGATCGAGAATTTGTGATCGTCGATGAAAGCCCAAATCAAGACACTCCGGCGTGAGCCACTAGCCGCGTTCATGGGCCCACCACCGAATGGTTTAACTCGAGATGAATTCCGAATTCAATATCTCGAGCGAATTGCTGAACAGGTTATCGTTGGTAACTTTCGCAGCATTATTGCATTTCTTAAAAGTTTGAATAGGGGTCGATGCTAACCGTTTGAATCGATACGCGCTACGCCTCCAATACTTTTACGGACGCGCGGAGGCGATGGACGACATGGAAGTTGGCATGTGATGCCAAAACGAGGATGTTATGTGTATCATTTCGACTGCATTTTTTAATTGAGTTCAATTTTTAATTTGAGTTATTCTATTTTCATCGGGCACACGACACAAATTCATCGGCAGATGGCCAATTGCTTGGGCACACGGCTAATTATATCGGGCACACCGCCAAATATATCGGGCACACGACCTCGGCGGGCCAAATTAAACGGGCACATGGCTAATTATATCGGGCACACCACCAAATATATCGGGTGCACGGCCAAATACATCGGGCATTCGTCCAACTTAACTGCAAAAAGGTGTAGTAACTGTAAGATGGTCAACTTCCCATGAAAACCAAAGTTGACTCAGAAAGCCAGCGCATTCTCAACTTGCCATTGCACTTTCGCAACTTCAATGTATCGCTTTGTCAAACTGTAACGTTACACCAAGAGTGCGGATATATATTGCACGTAGTTTGGTTGTTCTTTGATGCCTGTGATTCCCTTGTCTTTTGCATGTTGTGGCTATATAGGATCTGGGGTGAGGTTGGTTGGGCGTCAGAAGTTGACAACAACTTCATCCGGCCAGTTGGGTCCACGGTATGGCAGTGTACCTTTCTCGTGTCGTCGGCCGAATTCATTGTATCCGTGGATCAACATGCAGACCGAGTAACGTGAGATGGTGCGTCCAGGCTCATCCAGCGACCAGCAACGACCTAAAGTTCTGTGTCCATTAGCAATTCTCGCAATCTTTATCTGAATTGCCAAAAGATTCCCCCCAACACAGCACCCTCTGGCAATCAGTATGAGTTCAAGACTACGTACAGTACAGTACAGTTTAGCTCGATGCAATGCGGCAATGTGTACCGGTACGGTAGCCATAATACTGTACCAGCAATCGTACATGGACGCAGCGACGAGGACTGCATAGTACTGGTACATGGACAAAAACAGTGCACTATCGTGCATTACAGACAGTACTATACTGTGCACGAATGGAGGACGGCGCAAGCCATCTAAACGCAGCTTATTGGTACAACCAACGTACTCCGAGCCGTCGATGAATAAATAATACACTACTACAACACAGCGATAAAATCTAGAGCAGCCACCGCCTTAGTGGCCCCAGGAAGGCTGCAAAGCGCGTGGTAGGTCGGAACTCTGCGGGGTGGACATGCCCCCGCTTGAGCTTCCCCAGCGCCTTCTTGACGCCGCGCACGTCGATCCTCCTCGCCGGATCGAGGTCCAGCATGCGCTCGATGAGCTCCAAGACTGGTTCCGAGAACAGGCCCTCCAACTTCCATCGGTTCACGAGGGCCAGTACCCCAAAGTGCGTCAACATGAAGAATCGCTTGTCACTGGCTTCGTCGGGAACGTTCACAAGCGGCACGCCGGTGATCATGATGAACAGCATCATGCCAAGGGACCACACATCCGCCACGCGCGGGTCGTACTCGGCCTCTGCGTACACTTCGGGCGCCATGTAGTTGAGCTTGCCCACCGCGTCGTCGTGGACGCTCGGGACGGCCACCGCCAGGCCAAAGTCGCACACTTTGCAGTCGCGATTGTTGTCCAGGAGGACGTTTTCCAGCGACAGGTCGCGGTGCGCGATCCCGTGGGTATGGAGATGGTCGACGGCTGACACGACCTGCCGCATGTAGCGCACCGCCTGCGCTTGAGGAAACCGGCCGTGGGGTAGCGTCTTCATGTGCGAGAGGAGGTCGCCGTTCGGGCAGTACTCGAACACGAGGTGATGGAACCCGTCGACCTCAAAGTAGTCCTCCATCTGTAGAATGTGGCGGTGACGGTGCCGCTTCAACGTCACGTTCACGCGGCGCTCGATGTCGTGTTGCGACTGACCACCGACGTCCAGGTCGTCGTCGGTGCCGACGCTGGACGTGAGGCTGTGGCCACATCGCTTGATGGCGGACTGGCGACCCTTGGCGTTGCGACAGAGCCACACGCCGCCGCCGGAGGCTGACGTCGCAATGGGACCCTCGACTCTGTACATGTATGTATATTCGTCGTCGACAGCAGCAGGAAGCAAATCCAGGTATGACTGCGGGGTGTCTACCCTGCGCGTACCACTGTGCCGCCAGGCAATCCCACTGCATCAACCCAACAGATTCCACGGTTTTTCCCACTGAAGGTCGCATCTGATACTTGATAACTTAGCAGGTGGATTTGCGAAGAAGGCCACGACACCAAGTGGGCCGCTGTGATTGGCAACCAAGACATGGAGCTCAATGACACATCGGACGGGATGGGCATTCATACAGGTGGTGCATTCTTGGTCACGAGAAGACCATTTCGAAGCAGATCAAATGAACTCATAGTCAACGACGACGAGGGCCTGAGACTTTATGACAATTGGGTAGATCTGGCGTCAGAAGGGGCACTTGGCACGGCCTCTTGCGATATGTGGTACAGTAGTCGCCCTTGTTCCCAGCGTCATGACGACAGCTTACTCCATGTTAGGTGTGTTTACTACTGTATGTTCCTGTACTACTTACTACATTGGTCCAAGAGGTTGAACTAGTCCCTTTGACCAAACACATATATGATCGGATTCGGCAGAATATCTCAGGACCAAGACAACTTGCGACTGTGTCCAACTACGCAGTACTACCGGTAGTACCTGTACATATTGCTTTGGCAGGATTGATAGACGAAGCAACCAAATCGGACGACGGGGCGCCCTTTCCTACGTTAGGCTCACGTTGGTGGTCACATAGAATACGACCGCAACCCCAGCACAGTTGACTTTAAGACCAAGAGGAACATGCATATGGGGGTTGCCCAATCCACTCGTGCATTTTCTCGCTGCAATTGGCTCCTGATGTACCTACACTTTCAGTTTAGGTTTTCCCGGTATATTTTGTCCGACCCACCAACAATTCACGAAATGGCCGTTATGTTTGCCTATTTTTCGTCCAGACCAAACTTCTTAAGAAGTATATTTCGATATTTAGCAGGTACTCCGGAGTATATGTCACGCCATATTATATTTGAAGGATTGTTCGATATATTTCACTCTATCTATTTTAAGAGTCAGATAAGTCGGGACTGGACGAAATATATCGAATATTAGGCGAACGTAACATGGACATTGGATGTACCAGTAGTATCAGTTTTACGTCGGACAAAATATACCTGAAAACCCTCTGAACCTTAACGGTGTTCTAGTGTAAGGAAACGTAGTAGCTCTGATCTGAAAATTCAAGTTGAACTTCATGTGTGGCGCCAGTGCCATGAGTCATTCCGCTGAGCAGTGCGGCTCGACCCTGGTCTTCGTCCGAAGTCCGCAACTCTCTTGACCTACGATGCGCGTTCCTAACAAACTACAAGGCTTGTACGTGAGTATCATGCCAGCTTGGTACGAAGACTTTGGACACCAAGACTACGTATTTTCTCTGCTAGACCTCTGTCTGATACAGTGCAGTGTGATGATGTACTATTAATATGTCCCCTCGATGTTGTAGTACTACTAGAAAAACTTAGTACTACTATTAATACTAATACAGTAGTCCCTTTCCTTTTCGACCTGAAAGCGGGAACAAAACGTTCACAGACCAAGGCTCTTATTGGTCAACAGGTGGAAACGGTTTTGGCCATAACTCTGAATCACGACCTCCCAGATATATATATATATATAATATATATATATGGCCTACACAATCAATTCCCTCGACCCAGCGAGAACTTCTTATGCACCAAGTGCCCACGCTCAACATGTATCGTCATCACAACAATTACAGCTTAAAAAATCCAAACAACCCCGTCGACTCCTTGGCGGGTTCGTCCGTCGTCGTCGTCGGGACGTCGCTGTCGGCGGCGGTCTTCCGCACTTTGCCGGCGGGGGGGGTAAACTGGTCCATCTTGATCCCACTCACAATCACCGACACGTGGATGCTGCCCTCGATTGACGGGTCATAGCACGTACCAAAGATCACATTCGCCGACTCGGCCACCTTGTCTCGGATCACCCCCATGATCGTATCCACCTAAAACGAATCAAGCAATCTCGTGATTCAATATCAGTGTACCTCGTACAGCGTCATGTCTTCACCGCCGCGAATGGTCACGAGAAGCCCCGTCGCGTGCTCCGTGGGCAGGTCCCCCAGCAGCGGCGTCGACATGGCAGCATACGCCGCTTCCTCGGCGCGGTTGGCGCCCGCGGCCTGACCCGAGCCCATCATGGCGCGCCCGGCCTTGGACAGGATCGTGTTGATGTCTGCAAAGTCCAAGTTGATTAAGCCTGGCTTGACAATCAGGTCTGTCACGCCCTTGACGCCTTCCAGCAGCACCGCGTCCGCGTACCTACACCATGTAAGAATCGAATAAAAAGTCACCAGAGGTGGGTTTATACTGTACCGAAAGGCCTCGACTAACGTCGTGGACGCGTTGGACAGCGCCAACAAGTTTTGGTTGGGGACGACAATCAGCGTGTCCACCGATTGCGCGAGCGCGGCGAGACCTTGGATGGCTAGTCGCGTGCGATTCGGCCCTTCTGATCGAAACGGCGTCGACACCACCGCCACCGTGAGGATGCCCATGTCCCGCGCGATGTTTGCGATGATTGGCGCCGCCCCTGTGCAGGTGCCACCGCCCATGCCGCCCGTGACAAACAACATGTTGCTTCCTTCCAACTGGGCTACGATGCCGTCGTGACTCAACTCCGCCGCCGATTTGCCTGCATATGCACGATGAGTTTGACGCTGAAATGAATGGGATGCATACATACCCAAGCTCGGTTTGGACCCCGCACCCAACCCCTTCGTAAGCTCCTTGCCCAGCGTGATCTGGCGCGGCGTCAGCGACCTTGCCAGAGCCTGGCAATCTGTGTTGGCCACGACAAAGTCCACGCCTTCCAGCTGCGACGTGATCATGCTGTTCACGGCGTTGCTTCCTGCGCCACCCACCCCAATTACAGTGATCACAGGACGGCCGTTCTTTAACTTGTGGGACTTTGGCTGGTGCTCTGATCGATGGGCGGACTCGTTCATGGCGCGAGTCGACTGGTACCCCGCCGATCGCTTCGGGAAGTTGGTCGTTGAGGGTGATGGTCGACGGAATGAAGGGACGTCCGCGCCATTCACCTTGGCTGCATGTGAAGAAGTGGCGAAGGGCCGACCGCTGCCGCTACATCGGAGGAACGTGCGAAGCATCCTTCGTCACAATGAAATGGGGCGAATCTTCCCCACCGTGAGTGGAATGCGTTTTTTTGTGTTTTGTCATCCTTTCAATTACGTTTTACCGGATAATGAAGGCTCCGTTCCGTTTTACCTATAAAACGTGTCAAAATTCAAGTACGTCGAACTTAACGAAAATCATTGATCCAAAACCAAGAATATTTTTTAGTATATCTTCCCAACATTACTACTGTACTACCGTATACCCCCCGCTTCAGTACCTATGAAAATGTCAGTGAAATCTGATCACAACCAGTACAGCTCCAAGGGGTACCTTGAAAACTATTCAGGCATGCGCATTGGTCTAAATCCATCACAGAACTTATATTTCATTGGATGAAAATAATTAACGCATGGTGATTGGATATTTCTGTCCAATTAGAGACAACTAGGTACACGCCCAACCTGAACCATGAAAATGTATGTTCCAAACTAGTACAGGTCCAACCGGAGATATCATAGGTACTGAAGCGGGATGTATACGGTAGGTAGTAGTAGTATTAAAATAGTAATGTTGGTCGACAGAATTAAAATACTGTCGGCCAACACATATAAACATATATATTCAAAAGTGAAACTGCCAGCGTTACACTTATGAGCGGAAAGTGACATGGAAGTGATGGACGGAGAATTTTCAGCAGCTCCAATGCATGCAAGTAAGTAACTTAGAAAGAAATGCCATCCATCCATTCGTCCTTGCTTAGACATACAATATGTATCCTTGTCGACTTGGCTTGGTATTCCGGAGTACTGTACAATCTCAACAAAGGAGCAAGTCGCCCCAATGTCATGCATATTTCGCCGTTGTGGCGTACTTCCATAGTTGACGTGCACTAACGTTATCCAAAATGTTGCGCGGTTAGTTATACGTGTCTTCTATACCTCCCTCATCCGGCCAAACGACGGTTTCAGGAAATCAGACAAACCGCCGAAACGGCCTCTAAATATAGACCACACTGAGCGTTGTATTTGCGTCCGACGAGCACCAGACAACACACAACGTCCAGATCGATCGATCGTAGCCCATCCATTTACACATGAACTTTCAAGCAATGTACTGTAGTAATACCCATCGTCTCGTTGATAGCCACTCATGTACACATGTGTAGCCCCAAGGCGAACTTGGTATGCCCGACGACTTCCATCAAGCACAGCCGATGGCTGTCGTCGCCCAACCTCAGCATCTTGCCCCCGTCTTCTCTTCATGACAACTATCCCCTCCAACTCGACACCCCTGCCACAGATGACGATAACGACGACAACGACAGCGTGCTCTCGGATCCTCCTACCACTGCCGACAACATCCGCGCTCTGGTGCGCATCAAACCGTCTTCGGTCGGGTCGACGGAGCGGACCTGCCTGTCCGTCGACGGCGCGTCGGTGTCGCTCACCCCGCCCATTGCGTCCCGCGCAGTGTTTGACAAGAAGACATTCTCCCTGGACGGCATCCTGCTGGAATCGACGTCGCAAGAAGAGGTGTTCCAAGCCGTGGCGGTGCCGTTGGTCGCCAATGTGCTAGAAGGGTACAACGGCACGATCTTTGCGTACGGCCAAACCGGGTCGGGGAAGACTTACACCATGCAGGTGCGGAGGAGAAGCTTGTCTTTTGTAACCAAAATACAACTCAAGGTCTGATGGTCACTGCTAGGGGGACCTCGCTGGCGAGCAACACCGCGGGGTGATTCCTCGGACGATGGACCACTTGTTTCGACACTTGACCGACCAAAAGGTACACAAGTAATATATCCGTGCTCATTTTAACATCCGACAAACAACTTGACATTTCCATCGTGTGGCTGGTTTGTGTAGACTATCTTTACGTGCACGTGTTCGTATTTGGAGATTTACAACGAGAAGATCTTTGATTTATTGGACGAAAGCATGACGTCCGAGGCAAAGTTGCTTCGGGAAGACGCCGTGTCTGGCATTTTCGTGCAGGATTTACTGGATATTCAAGTCCACACCCCCAGCGACGCGCTCGACCTGCTCACTCGGGGCACCAACAACCGGACGGTGGGCGCCACAGCCATGAACCGCGAAAGCTCCCGGTCACACTCGGTGTTTATGGTCAAACTCGTGCAAAAGCTCAAGGACGACAGTGGGTTGGACATTGTGCGCAAGTCGACTTTGCATTTGGTCGACCTGGCCGGATCCGAAAAGCAAAGTGCCACTGGCGCCACGGGTACCCGCCTCAAAGAAGTACACTACACCAATCCACACTCGCATATTTGCATGTTGACATGGCATGTAATTTTGCAGGCCAGTCAAATCAACAAGTCGCTGTCTGCCCTGAGCAATGTCATCACCGGACTCGTGGATGTGTCCAAGGGCCTCAAGCGCCACATTCACTACCGAGACTCAAAGCTCACGTTTCTCCTGCGCGATGCCTTGGGCGGAAACTCCAAGACGACCGTCGTCGCCACCGTGTCGGCGCACGACAAGTGGTTCCACGAAACCATGTCAACGCTCCAGTTTGTCCAGCGGGTCAAGTGCATCAAGAATAACGCGAAAAAGTACGAGGACGACAGCGCCGTGATTGCCCGGCTGGAGATGCAGGTGCGGGAGCTGCAGCGCCGGGTTGACGACAGCGCCGTTCCCCGGGTAGAAGACATGCAGGCAATGCAGCAAAAGGCCGACGAACTCTCGGCCATGAAAGTTAATAATGAAAAGCTCGAGCTGGTCGTGACCCTCTTAAACGGCAAGGTCACGACGACGCAGGAAGAACTGCATGCTACGCAACAAAAACTCAACGACGTCGAGGTATTACTATCGATTCGTTTTTGACAAACAAGGTGCTCATTTATATGTGTGTGGCTATAGCTGGCGCTGTCCCAGTCCAAGGCTGAGTGCGAGAGCTTATTGGTGAAACAAACGTTGCTGGAATGCAAACTGACTGGTCAAGGGCGCAACGACGACGTGATCGCCCCCATGGAAACGGTGGAAGGCACGACCGAAGCTCAGACGATCAAGTCGCTCCAGGATATTGTCGCAGAGTTGCATTCGCAGCTCATTGCCGCCGAAAATGCGCGCGGGTTGGCAGAAAAACGGCTCAAGGATGCGACCAACCAGAAGAAGGATTTCTCGCTCTTCAAGGGCATCTTACGTCGGCGGAGTTCTGGTGGCGGTCGGAAGTGGTGGCAGCGGTGGAAGAAACCGCTCAGTGACGCCTCCAACCCGTAACTTGAATATTCACCCCGTTTACGTAATATAGAGTGTGACTCGCGACCGTTACAATATTGTCGGTTTCACGTATGTGGCAATCAAATCTGGGTTATTGTATTGCATACAAAGCACGAGCTTGAATTAAATACCACAATAATATGACTAGATTCCAATCCAACTAACGAGTGGAACGACATCAGAATTGCATCTTTCCACCAGCATCTTTCACCATGGAGGCGACACCTGTGGAAGCGAAACCAACCCCGTTTTCGCCGACGGCAAAGCTACGGTAAGATGACATGATCGTGGCTTCATAGGAAGGGGCACGTATTCAGGCATATGCCGTAGGAAGCTGTTGTCACCATCGTCGGCTAGACATCTGCGCAGTCCTAGCAGTCCAAGCATGGAACGAGTTAGCGGCGCTTCGTCCCGTCCCTGTAGCCCAGGCGGCTTGGAGAGAACAAGCAGCATTCCACGCCTCAATTCGTCGTCGAAAGTGCACACGCTTGCGCGGAAATTCGAGCTCAAAATCGAAACCAACGCGGCCGCAGCAGCTGCTTCGTCGTCGACTACGTCGGCCGGTATTGTCCACAACAACCAGACAACCCACAAGGACATTGTCACCAGTCCTGTACCAGCGACGGACGAGCCCCAAACAGTATCATATCCCGTGAACCCCAACGAAGAAAGCATTCGCGCGCTCGTTCGCATTCGACCGTCGGCGCCACTCCGCGATGAAATCGACCCGTCCGTCGTCATCATTCCTGACAAGAGCGTCCGCCGATGCCTCGAGCCCGACGCCACCTCCATCAACATCGTCAATTTCAAGCAAGGGGCGGACAAGCGCCAGTTTTCCGTCGACGGTCTACTACTGGACACTGCGACACAGGACGATGTGTTTAAGGCGGTGGGCATGCGAGTGGTGGACAATGCCGTCGACGGATACAACGGCAGCATCTTTGCCTATGGTCAGACTGGGTCTGGCAAGACCCACACGATGCAGGTACGACGCATTAGATATCTAGCGTGTGGAACTTCATGGTATTCATGGCTGAGCAGGGCGACATGACTGAAGGCAGCGCGGAACGAGGGGTAATTCCCCGCATCCTGTACTACATGTTTGAACGATTGACTGCGTCGCAGGTCGGTTATCTTGCTGACATATAATTGCAAGTGACAGGGTGACGACTGCGTAGACGTCGTTTGACATGACGTGCTCGTACTTGGAGATTTACAACGAAAAGATCTACGATTTGCTGGATGTGATCTCGGACGAACCCAAGTACATCCGGGAAGACGCAACCTTGGGGCTGTTTGTGCAGGATCTGGTCGAGATGCCCGTGGCGAGTCCCCGCGCGGCACTTCAGGTGCTCGACGACGGCGGACAGCACCGAACAGTGGGCTGCACGGCCATGAACCGCGAGAGTTCGCGGTCGCATTCCGTGTTTACGATTAAGTTGACCCAGCGACTCGACGAAGCGGGCATGGAAATCACTCGGCGCTCGACTTTGCATTTGGTCGACTTGGCCGGGTCAGAGAAGCAAAGCCACACGGCAGCCGTGGGCACCCGCTTCAAAGAAGTACGTCTCTAGTTCCATTGTCATCTTCTTGTTGACCGCTTCATCCACATATATATATATATATATATATACTTCGAAGTATAGTACTTGTATATGTCTTCACACATGATATATATGTCCTTGAATATATATATTAATTATTATGTATTCGCACATGATATATATACGCCCTTGAATATAGATACATATATATGTATGCATTTACTCACATATGATATATATGTGTATGTCGGTGGCAGGCGACCCAGATCAACAAGTCGCTGTCTGTACTGGGTAATGTCATGACGGCGCTGGTGGACGTGTCCAACGGCATCAAGCGCCACGTGCCGTATCGGGACTCAAAGCTGACGTTCCTTCTGCGCGACGCCCTGGGGGGCAACTCCAAGACGACACTGATCGCCACCGTGTCGAGCGAGGACAAGTTTAGCAACGAAACGCTGTCGACCCTGCAGTTCATGCAACGTGCCAAGCACATCAAGACGATAGTCAACAAGAACGAAGACACGCGAACAGTGATCAAGCAGCTCCAAGGCGAGTTGGCGGGGCTGCGCGGTCAGCTCGACGCGGCCACCGCCACCATCGACGCCGACAAGTGCAAGCGGGCGGCGCTACATCAACTCGTGGAGCGTCTGCAATTGCAAACGCAAGACAAGGCGTATGTAGGTAGGCTCGAGACAAAAGTGGAGGCGCTGGAAGGACAGTTGACTGTGCAAACCGCAGTGAGCGAAGCGCTGCGCGATGCAATCAAAACCCACGCACAAGATGCAGCCCACGCCCACGACGAAGTGGACGAGTGCCAGCGCATGCTCAAGCAGATCCGACTCGAGTTTGAGCGCGCCAGACAGACACACACGTCGGACGCGTGTCTGGTCGCGACGCTGCGGGAGGAGCTGGTGAAGCGCGACAACGACCACGCGACTCAATCCGACGCGTGGAGCCAAAAGCTGGCGGCGCTGCAGGCGGACGTGTCCTCCGCCGCCACCCACCTCGCCGCCAAGTGCCTCGAGGCGGACGGGTTGAAACAACTCGTGTCGGAATTGAAGCTTCAATTGGACGATTATCGTCGTGTGTCGATGGAGGTGGCGACTGCGACTACAGTGGACGTCACTCCGTCGCATGTTACTCCGTGTATGTCCATGGCAAGTTCACTTAATGCGATGTCGTCGACCCCGCCCATTTCCGAAGACGGGCAGGTCCTGCTGTCGCCACGGGTATGTCCCAACCTAGCGACCATCTTGGATGTGTGTGACAACCACCAGTCCGTCGCGGATGGAATGCCTTGATGATTTCTCGGTCGTTGGTTCGTAGATGATGTCGACGACGCGGCGGTCCGGCCATCGCCGCAGCGAAAGCGACTTGTCGGACGAATTCAGACAAGTACGGTAGATTATCTTCTTCTTCTTGGCAATGTACGAGACAAGACCCATTGCGTTAGGCGATCGGATCGTTTTCGATCCCGGCGTCGATGGACGAAGCGCACCGCGACCTGCAGCTCCAGCACGACCAGCTGCTGCACGTCATGCAAAAGCTGGACGGACTCCGAAACTCGAAAAAGTTTCTGCAGCACGCGCTCCAAACCACGCTCACGGACAACGCCGAGATGGTACAAAGCCTGAAAAAGCTGCAGGTAGACAGAGACCTTTATATTTCGCCATCTTGACTGACCTACATAGTATTTGAGAGGCGTATACTGTATGTTGTCCAGTGAAGTAAACTATCGATAGGTGGAGCGCAACACGGCGCTGGACGCGCTACAGCAGACGCTGGCGGGCGAAAAGAAGGCCAGAAAACAGCAGCAGCAGTCGTTCAAGCTTCATAGTTTGGAAGGAGACGACGAGTCTGACGTGGCAACCTTGCCGACGATGCTGAAACGGGCCAACACGACCTTTCACGGATTTTCAACTGTACGTTGTGACAACGATGTGTGACGAGGTTGAATTAGTTTCGTATAATATCGTTGTAGATTCCAAAAGAGGACGAACTCAAGCAGCTGGCAGCAGACAAAGTCGCGCTCACGTCACGACTCAAGGCGACGCAGGCGAAAGTGGGGGCCCTGGAAGACCAGGTCAAGAAATTGAGGTACCAAGAGCGTCATGGTGCGGATGAATCGTTTTTTAATTAAAAACACATGTTTTGCACAGAGGCAACCTCCCAGCAACCGACAACACGAGCGCGTGGGCTATTGTAAGACGGCAGTGTTTTTCTGATCTATTAGTCACTCAAAGCAAGTGTGATGGTAGGAGTATGGTCGGGTGACCCAGGCGCTGTTGGCGGCAGTGATAACACTGCACGAGGACGTCGAAGGCAGGCACAAGACGTGGCGGGCGCTGCAGCAAGAGCCTGTGGAGCTGTCGCACACGCCTTTCTACGAAGGATTGGTTGAGAACATGGTGGACAAAGTCAAGCAGCTGACGTCGACCGTGGACAACCAAGTACGTCCATGAATACATTATGAGAGTCCCTTCACCACTCAACGTTGTTTGTCGGCGATAGAAACTTGCGATCCAAATCCTTGAAAAGGAACTGCATTGGCACAAACTGACCAAAGACATCCAAACAAAGTAGCACTTATAGGGGGTTGAAAATGGACTGTGAACACGCTACTTTTGTTTCATTGCTGTGAGGATCATCTACTACGTAGTAGCAATCGTTGTCGTCTAGCTACACATATATTATATTCACATGCTAGAGCGCATGAGCAGCACATATCCTCCAGTATTAGCATTTTTCAAGTATGTACTCTACTAGTACATACTAGTGCCACCACGGCACCGACGGCGTCGACATCTTCTTTGGCGTACCCTGAAACTCGAGGTGCAGACGGCGTAGAAATGCCGCGGGGGTCGTGGGGAAGGTGGTTTTGTCCGTGTCTTTGGAAGCTGCAAACGTCTTTAGCATTTTGAGCGTCGCGGCGTCAATGGCGGCGATGTCGTTATGGAACGTATCCAGATACGCATGGAATGATGGCGTGGGCTTGTGGGACGCCACGAGCGACTGCTTCCATGCGTCGGCATACCTCAACTTGGCCAAATGACGTCGAAACGGACTGATCATTAGCTTGCGCAGCATGCGGTGGTACGCCTCTTCCCCCTTGAGAGGTGGTGGCGGTAGCAGTGGTGGAGATGACGTGACTTGCGGTGATCGATACAGCCACGTGGTGAGGCAATATCTATGTTACCACTGAGTTTAGAGAAGGAGTTGGGGCTTCGAGGATAAGTAGTCTAGCTAGTACCGAGGTTGCGTGGCAGGCATTACTCGGTGGAGCATTTGAGTGGACGAGAACAGCACCAGTCGATTGAACAGCGGCGCGATCGTCACGGGGGCGTGGGGGAAGGGAAACAGCTCCAGCTCACCCCCGTGGCCGTGTACCCATTCTTCGTTGAGGTATAAAATAGCTGTGAGGCACTTGCCGTCGTCGCCGTACGTGTCAAAGTGCATCGGGAAGCACCCACCATGGCCTTCGTTGAACTGTACCTACATGCAACGCAAGGGTGAATATCGTTGGAGACTCGTTGGGAGATCGTAAGTACTTTAATCATGTGGCGAGCTGCCTCGAGCGACGGAATCGCCGAGTTGAGGCTCTCGCGGAGGATAGGGTTGTGAAACCACTGATTCAAGTGCGCGTGAGAAGGCGGCACCGTGAGCAGCTCCATTTCGTGGATGTGGTCCTTCTCAAGAAGAAGCGGTTCGTTCTTGCCTGCCACAAAGACGTGGGTGGAGTTGGCGTACAAGTCCCCGCGCAGACTCTGGATCTCTGCCTTCAGAGCTTGGGCCAGCGACGGGTGGAACGCGTTGTCCATTACGGCGTAGCCATTTTGGAGCAAGGAAGGGCCAGCTTGAGGCAGGATCCTCTGTGACCAGGAGGTTAACTCTGCATCCACGAGCTCCTTTCCACGTAGTGACGAGAATGCCATGGCGAACTGCCGTCGCCATGGTAGCCGGCGGCATGACATGCCAGCCATCATCATATTTTTCAATCTCAACTTGATGTTATGTGTTTGATTGGCTGCAGCCAAATCGTGCTACCCAATCAAAATGTGTATTATGAATACAGTGGTTGCTGCCGAATGGACCCGCAATCTTCGCGGATGCCAGGCGCGTTGGCACTATCACTTGACGAGTACTCGGAGAAACACAAGCACACTCCTTTTGCGCGGTCGCACAGTCCGCTACGGACATGTACCTCGTCTGACACCATACTCGATGCATGATCTTAACTATACCTTCCCGCGCACTCGATGTTCTCCGTCGTGCCTTGCACGGATCCCGCGACGCCGTCAGTGTTGATCACAAAGGAAGAGATCTTGGTCGCATCTACACCTGTGACCTGCATAGCTGGTAGATCGCCCAATTCCGTCACAAACGCAACTGTGATGACGTTTGCCGGCCCGCTGGCCTTGCACGCCACCACGCCACTGGCGTACGTCACACGGACAAACCCGGTTACCGGCAGCAATGCCGATGCCATCTATGCAATGCATTAGCGATCGTCCAGTTTCGAGAGCTTCGTTGCCTGGGCAGTTGTTGCGGCCGTCGAGATGGGCACCGTCGTCGCACCTCGAAACCGCAACTGAAACGTCGACGCAGTTATTGCTGTGCACGTGATGGTTTGCACTTCATTCGACTGTCCTGTGGTCCGAGGATTGTCGCCAGTGGGGCACACTCGCTGGGAGCAGTCGTGGCCGCCGTAGCCCTTGTCGCAGACGCAACCCTGGATCTTGTTGAAGTCCCAAGTCTACGTCACAACAGTGTCACTTTTCAATATACTAGTTCCAAGCAATAACCACCGCTGGGTTGTTGGGAATGGAGCCGTACACCAGCGGTGTGGGGTCGCCATTGGCGGTGGTGAGAAGGGCGAGCCGCTCTTGGGTCAAGCACTGGCCCCGCCCAGAGCACGGAGGGTCGCCGACGCCCGGACAGCGCACTACGCATACGAGTAAATGCATCACATGTTTGAAATGTTCATCGTACTGCGCTGGCATGCCGAGCCTTCAAATCCTGGCGCGCAATTGCACACGCCGGTGGCGGAATCACACACGCCTGCGTTGGAGCAAATGGCGTATCGGTGCGCGTCGTTGCTTTGAACGGCCATGTCAAACCACGCAGGGCCTTGTGGGCACGTTCCTACGCAACATCAGGTGTCAAGGGTCATAATACCGAGGGAGTTCCACGACGACACGTACGGACGGAACAATCGCCGGACGTCCACCCGCCAAAGCAAACACATGCATATTGGGGACTGCCGGTGCAATAGCCATGTCCGCTGCACGTGACCACTCCCTTTGAAATGTCACTATTGGAAGGGAAAATGATGGGTTTGTTATGTACCGGACAGGCGGTGATCGACCCCAGCACGCCGCCGCAGTCGCCGCGAATTCCCCAACCGCCCTTGCCGTCACTGGTGGTGTATCCATCGTAGCATGCGCATATACCCTATAAGAACATTTAGACATTCGATACAAGAACGACTGTATGTCTGGACACGAACACTGGTGACGTCGCATGTGCCGCGGTTCGAGCACGGCAGGTTTTCCTTGTTGCCCACTTGCAGTCGCGCCACGGTGAGCGCGACGCTCCCGCCCACGTTGGTGTACACTAAGTTGTTGGGGTTCCCCACAAGCAGCGGTAGCCTACAGTAAAGATTCCATAAGCAACAAATATAATTGAAGTTATATGGTTCAGACGGGCCAAAGTCTTGAACGAATTCCACGACAATGACGTTCCCGCCAGGGGGACACGCTGTGGTGGCCGTACTAGAGAACAGCACGAGCACTTGGGTGATGGTCGAAATTGCCTAATCATACGAGTGAATATATGGCAAGTTATAATAGTTAATGGTACCTGAAGTTTGGAAGTCATGGCATCCACGGGGTCGTTCGAGTTGATGGGGACGGTGGTCTGGCCTCGAAAACTCAATGTAAACGACCCCCCCTAGTCGAAAGCATTAGTTGCCATGACGGAACCTGGCGTTGCCGTACCGTGGAGGAGCACGAGACACTTTGCTTTTCGTTAAACTGCTGTCCAAATATGGGGTCGCCCGTGAACCCAGTGAGCGGGTCGTCGCCGGTGGGGCATCGGCCTGCACGCCAATGTTAAACGAGAATGATGGCCGAAGCGTTCGTACGTTGCGAACAGTCGGCGCCGTAGAACCCGTCGTGGCAAAGGCACCCGTACACCATGTCGCTGTCCCAGTTGGCCGTGTACACCACCGGCGGGGGCATCCCCTTGTCCTTTTGGGTCGCTTGGAACTTGATCGACCGACACTCCCCCCGATTCGAACAACCTAGGGGACACGCGACTAGACGACACGTGTTTGAGTCCTCTGTAACGATAGCATATCAAACGAAATAACGAACGTACGGCGGTCGCAAGCCGCCCCGGTGAAGCCAGGATCGCATTGACATACGCCCGAGCTTTCGTCGCACACCCCACGGTTCGAACACACGTCCGGAAGGTGCGCCACGTCGGTGGCAGCAGCGAACGACGACCACGACTTGCCCACGGGGCACGCTCCTGCATGAAGCGGGGTGTCAAGAACATATTTGTGAACTCAAATGGTTCGTGAAGTTCAGCTATGGGATGGATGCCTTACGTCTCGAGCAGTCGGCTCCAGCAAACCCTGCAAAACACTGACAAATGCACCCACTGCCCACAATCGTGCATTTGCCCCGCCCAGAGCAATCGTTATTGCAACAACCACCAGCCACCGAAGTCAATACCGTCCACAGCACTGTGAACGTCGCAACCCATCTCATCTTGGTGCGTGAATGGGAGTTATTTCTCGGCCGATGGCCCTATTTTTAGAGGGTTTTACCAGAGCTACGTTATGGTCAAGCCGCCTTGTTCACTTGGATGAAGGTAGGAGTACCGAGAGGTAGGTATGCCATGGAATTTAGCGGTGGCAGCATGTAGGAGTTTGGCGCTGGACAGGTGTATTTCACTTCTTTGAAATGTCTACCAGTACCACTTTGGCGGTATAAAAATATATAAATGCAATACAGTTCCGCGAATAAATAATACTTCGAACTACGAGTGTATTTGATATCGTTCGAAGTAGGAATACTAGTAATACTATGGCTTTGACTCGAGCTAGTAGTACTAGAATGTTGTACACTTGGTAAATGTATACCGGCTACTAATGAAACTAACCTTTCAGGTTTTGTAGAATCTCTGCAAAATTTTTGGTGCTGGTTCATTTCAAGATACGTTGCCGCGCCTACTCAGCCGCGGACGCTTGAGGTCACGATGAACAACAACCAAGAGCAGGACACAGCGAACTCCGTGGAGGAGGAGCGAGAGACCATGCGGAAGCAATCCACTGCCACATCGCCGTCGTTCCACTCCGCCTCATGCGTGCTTGATGGCTCGTTGATGGAGTCGAACGAGTTGAAGTGCGTCGCGGTGCGCTACTTCCACGGCCGGTTCACTCAAGCCCTCAGTCCCGCGACACTGGTAGCCCCTTCTTCATTACCGTTCTCTCGACAATGGTTCTCCAAATCCGACAAGCCGAAGGACCGGCTGGATTACGCTGCATTCCTCCGATTGTTTCCTGAGTTGCAGGTGCGAGTCGGCACCCCTGCGGCACAAGCATGCTGGCGACTGTTTCAGCCAGGAGACATTCACGCATGTCTGCGTGTGTTGAAGGCCATTTACACCGACCCGCACGACTTCGTCTTCGACTGGTTCGCCGCTGCCTCGTTGTCGTTTGGGTTCACCAAGCCCAAGGACTCGTTGTCCAAGAAAGAGTACAAGGCCTTGACGGACGTACTCGGTCCGCACACCACTACCGCCGCGGTGTCAATGGAGTCCATGTCGCGCGATGCGTTCAAGCGACATGTGCCGCGGGCCACATTATGTTCCTTGTTGTCCATCTTCAACATCTTTCCTTCCCGAGAATCCGAACAAGCTCAGATCCACGCTGTTATCCCCGCTGAAACTCTTAAGCCAAGTGACGCCTATGCCGACTCGTTCGGGTACATGGTGTCTATGACGTGGTGGCTCCAGTGGGTGGCCTACACAACCCCTATCTCTGTCGACAACCAGCTCGACGCCACTGCCACAACGCAGCGACCCCCGTCCGTGTACAACTTCGACCTGGTGGACCCGACCACAGGTAACTTGAAGCCCCATCTCGAACGTCACCGTGACTTTGAAGTGGTGACTCGGGCGTCTTGGTTGGCACTTATGGAGCTGTACGGCGGTGGCCCCGCGCTTCCTCACAGTGTGGGTTCATCATACCACCAGCGCATCAACGTGTACTTGGCAGAGTGCGACGGCCGGCCCAGCCAGCGCCATCGCCACGTGCACGTCCTCCATCCATCTCGGCCGGATGAGAGCGGCGGCGGCGGTCTGCTGCAGTCCCTTGTCAGTCTCTTTGGCGTGCGCATTCCAGTCGACAAGCTTCGGCTATGGCATCGGTCTAGTGCATCGAAGGATGAGGTGGTGGCCGAGTGGGTATTATGGGACCGCTCGTCCGTGTTGTTGGCGGAAGTGCTGATTGAAGTCATGTACTCGTCGGAATGGCCTCGAAGTAAGCTCAAGAGCAGCCGCGACTTCCGGCCGTTGAGAATTGGCGACCCCGTCGACGCTTACGACTGCGAGCGCGTGTGGCGCTCTGGTATCGTCCAGCGTCTGAGTACCCTCGACACTAACCGCGTGTGCGTCCACTTTACGGGGTTCTCGTCCGTCTATGACGAGTGGATCCACGAAGAGTCGGGCAAGCTGCAGCCGCGGAATAGCCGGTCGTCGTCGGGTCTCGCTGGGGGGCTCAATCCAGCACTGCCACGTGGCGGCGGCGTCGGACTCCTGAATCTAGGCAATACGTGCTACTTGAACTGCGCCGTGCAGTGCTTGGCAGCAACGTCGGCGTGGCGGTCGTACTTTGTCGACAAAGTGTATGCAAAACACGTGAACCGGCACAATAAGATGGGCACTAAGGGCAAAGTGGCGGCGTCGTTTGCGTCGTTACTGAGTAACATGTGGAAGCCCGGCGCGTCCACCACGTCCATCACGTCGCCGTCCGAGTTTCGCAAAGTATTTGGTCGAGTCAAGCCCCAGTTTGACGGGTGCGACCAGCACGATGGCCACGAGTTCGTGGCAGCGCTGCTGGACGCGCTGCATGAAGACTTGAACTGTCCGACGACGCCAAATGGATCGTCCAACGAATACAATAATGGCCATCTGGCACGAACGTCCACCACAAGGTCGTCCAACGACGACGATGGCCATCTGGCACGTACAGCGTGGCAGCACCACGTCGAACGCAACCAGTCGATTGTGGTGGACCTGTTCCATGGCCTCCTTCGCAGCCAGACCACTTGTGGCCAGTGTGGGCACCGACGTGTGCAGTTTGAGCCGACCTTGTTTCTGAGTTTGCCCATTGCCCAATTACACAAATCCACCATCTTGCGGGTATGGATGCACCCGCTGGACCCGGCGGTGCTGCCATATGGGATGGAGATTCCATTGCGAAGCTCCGAAGGCAACGCCAAGATGGTGCTGGACGAGATCGCCCGCCAGGCATCGCTTCGCCCGGACCGCCTCCGCCTCATTCAAGTACAAAACCACCGGTTTGCGAGGCTGATTGCCGTCGACACCCTCACATGCGACCTGGAATCGGCCGTGCTATGCTGCTTTGAGCGCGGGGTTTCCACGCCGACAACAGCAGTACCGAGTAACCTGTCTATCGTGGACATCCAAGTGGTGCATCGAGTAGCCACGGCGAGTAGCCCACCATATACGTTGCTAGGCCTTCCATTTGTGTTTTCCATTGACGCTGATGCGACCTGCCATCAAGCCCACGTGTACTTGCGGCAATCACTTCGTCGGTACGTCGAGTTCCCGGACGGAGCGTACACACTGCGCGCATTGAGTCAGGTGGACGTGACTTTCAAGGAGGGGGGCATCGTTCCGCCGTCGTCGTCGGATAGACTACTGTCGGTGTTCATGCCGCCGCAACTCCTTGTCGTCGACTGGACGAGCGCCGAGTACATTGATCGGCACCAAGGCACGCGGTGGATGCTCACGCGGCCGCCCCATCCGTCGATGACGCTGGAACGATGCCTCCAAAACTTCATGACCCACGAGGACATTGTGGATTGCCACTGGACGTGCGAGTCGTGCCACGCCACCGACGGCAGCCGCCAAATGGACATGTGGAAATCGCCAGATGTGCTCATGCTCCACCTCAAGCGGTTCCACTACTCGATGGTTCAGCACCACAAAGTCCAGGAGCTGGTGACGTTTCCCCTCGAAGGACTGCAGCTGCGGCCGTTCACTGCTCCCGACAACGACCATGACGATGACCCGAATGCCGATGTGTACGATTTGTACGCCGTGGCCAACCACACGGGCGGACTGAGTGAGGGCCACTACACGGCCTACTGCCGGTACGACTTGCACACGACGACAGCGATAGCCAACAACGTCGTGCCGCCCACGCACATTTGGCTCAACTTTGACGACGAAGTCGTGAGCGAACTCCCTCGTAGTAAAGTTGTGTCCAATGCGGCGTACGTCCTGTTTTACAGAAAGCGACAGCTCTCGACGACGTCTGTCCTTCGTGTGCTTTAGCGCGTTGTGGTATTTATATTAATAGTTAGCTACTGTCAGTACATACTGTAATTGGTGTGCCGCCGAAGAAACCACAATAAATATCTGAAGGCCCCACAAAAGCGAGCGACGCACTGTTGTTGCGTTGCCAAGATGGACATACCCGTAGTCCTAGCACCCACTCGACGCGCCTGGCTGGAGCCATTCGGGCGGCCAGGCCCGGTCTGCGGTGGACGGCTTCGGGCGGCGCGGTGTGTGGTGCGAGCAGGAAGGGTTAGGGTCAGGAAAGGCCAGGTCTAATCTCCGATGATTGGTGGAACCAAAAGGGGATTTAGACTTAGAGTTAGTATAGGGTTAGTTTAGTCAGTTAGTGAGTAGTTCAGTTCTAGTTTTGCCTCCAACTGCTCAATACACCACCAAGCTTTGCCCGGGAGTCCACTGCTCCCCCAACTAACGTTACCTCCGATTGGAAATGATTGATAGCTTTACCGGTTACGTACAATATTATTACATTATACAGGTATTGTAATATTTGCTATAACGTTACCACATACCTCCGTCTAAATCGCTATAACCAGATAAGTTCAGGGGAGAAATCAAATATGGATGTATGGAGTATAGATATTATACGAAAGCACAGTGAAAATTGAGCATCATTCATGAACATAACTTCTATAGATACTCTAATTCACGTTGGAGGATTTCTGGTAACATTCAAAATACGTCATAATAATCCTCCAAAAAATGTGAAGTTGAATATATAGTCCAATGTAAACCTAACAAGAGGTCGATTGAACAAGAGGTCTAAACTGAACAAGACGTCTAATAAAGAGAGGTCTATTAGTCCTCTTGTGCACTTGCATTGTTTATGTTAATCAAGTGAAGCAGCATTCAAAATACGTCATAATAATCCTCCAAGATATGTGTGGTGACTCAAAAGTCAACTTGGAAAGTTTATACACTGGTGAAGATTACCGTCGTTGGCACGAAGTTCAATCCAACGAACTGGCCGGACGTGCGCGGCCTTGTTGGGCTTGGTGCACAACAGCCTCGGGGTGTCCAAAGTCCAAGTGTTGGGGCTGTTGGGGGCGTTTGGCCAAGTACACCCCCCTGGATAGCTTGGATGATGTGATAGACATGCTGGTCAGCGGCGGCGACGGGCACTTCCTCACGAATCTGTTTGTCAAGCGGTGTTGAGTCACGCCAACGACACGGGCATGACGATGTTGTGGACGACCATGAACGACTCCGCCAATCGTGCATGGTTCCAACACGCAATCTAGGCCAATGAAGTCGATCGACGACAGCCAGTGGAACCCCGTGGTGCTGGGCTGCATGCGTGTGTGTCGGGACCTGCTGGAGCACCGCAACGTACCCCAGGCATTTGGCATGGTCGGGTTCAATGTGACGCTGTTTTAAGACGCCACGAGCCCCACGAAACGTCTGGGGATTCCCGCCGCGCTGGAGGCCCCGGGTGGTACTCCCGGTGATCCCTCCACCTCCTCCCCAACGGCCTCGACTCCCTCGACAAGTCGGTGGATGCGTCCGCTAGAAACGCTGCCAGACCGTCCTCGGCACCATCATACGCACGCCTCCCGCTCGACGTGTACTCGCACGACACTGTGCTTGAGATACAGCGCGGAGGCTCGACACCGCGCCGCGGTCGACCAAGGGCCGGTGCGTGACGTTGGCGGACGCGGGGTTCCGCGAGGAGACACGGTGCTGGTGGTGACACGACCCAACGTCCCCCTCGCGCCGAGCTCCGACCAGCGGTCTGCGGTCGACGTGTTGATGCAGCACATTCGAGAGCATGATACCAAGGAGGCGTTGTGCTGCTTCAAGTTGGATTAAATTTCACATGAGTTGTTGTTGTAAAGTATTCTTCAACGATGATATCTTGAGATAAAAAATCATGTTCACGTCAGTAGTATTAACGC